AGGGGCAGGACCCTGAGGGGGGAGGGGGTCTACCGGGGGGGGACCTGGTACAAGGAAGAGCGGTGGCGGGGGGAGGGACGGAGTGCGGTAGGGGAAGAGGCGGTAGTAGGGGACCGACTCGTCAAACGTGACGTCCTGGGAGGACAGAACACGGCGAGAGGTGGGGTGGTAGAACTGCCACCCTGGCGCGTCAGGGGGGAAGCCAAGGAAGACGCAAGGAGCAGCACGAGGGGACAGCTTGTCCGCAGACAAGTCGCGGACAAACGCCCGAGATCCCCAGACACGGAACGCAGACGCATCGCCAACCTTCCCCGTCCACAGCAAGGCTGGGGAGGTCTCCGGCATGGAGACCCTGGGGTGAAGGTTGATCTGATGCGCCGCGTACCGAACCGCAAACGGCCACAGAAAATGGGGGGCAGCCGCATGCATCATGGACGTACGGGCGACGTCCATGACCATGCCAATGCGGCGCTCAGCAATCCCATTTTGCTGTGGAGAGTCCGGAAGCGTGAAGGTCTGGCGGATGCCTCGTGCACGACAGTAGGCTCGCAGAAGGCCAGAGGAGAACTCTCCACCTCTGTCAGAGTGCAGACGCAGAACAGGAAAGTCCGAGCCGAAGCTCTGCCTGAGCTGGAGACGAGCTGCGCGGATCCAGTCGATCAACACCTCAGTGACATCACCCTTGCTGCGCAAGGGGAAGACTGTGGTGTAACGCGAGTAGTCGTCAACCACCAGCAGGAAGTAGCGCTCGTGACCCTGTCCACGGACGCGGGCCGGGCCCCACACGTCCATGTGAAGCGTCTGCAGCGGGGCCTCTGTCGGAGGAAACTGGGAGGAGTGAGGGGCAGCCCGCTGCCGCCCCTCGACACAGGGGACGCAGGTAGGGCCAGGCCCCGGAGGAAGGGGAGGGAGGGACCGGGGAAGACCAGAGACAAGGACACGGGAGGCCATGCCTCGGAGACGAAGCAGGGAGGGGTGACCAAGGCGGTGGTGCCAGAGGAGAGTCTCGTGAGACAGGAGGCGACACGAACAGGGGGCAGACTCAGGACCAGACCTGGACGCTGCAGCAAACACCTGACCCGACGCAGCTACCTGACCAGATGCAGTGACTGGAGGAGACGCAGTGGTCAGTGTGTACAGGCTTGACCCCGGCCGACGTGTAAACGTGGCCAGGTGTCGGCCTGTCCGAGCGTCCGTGCAGTGGGTCACCCGCTGACTCGCAGGAGTGAACTGGTGAACCCCCGCATCCTGTAGGTCAGCACCACTCACCAAGTTCGTAGAGAACGAGGGGAGGTAAAGACCAGACAGGGTGCCAGAGGGGGCCGCCGGACACGGGAGGACAGTGGAGAAGTGAGCAAGGACAGGACCCCCAGAGGGGTCTGCCAGGGAGACCGCAACCGGCCGACTGAGCGGCGTAAGCGTGGTGCGGTCTCGAAAGAAGGAGCGGGAAGCACCCGAGTCAAGAGTGAAGGTGTGTAAGGCCTGAGACGACGTGGTACCTGAGAGAGCAGACTCACCAGCACCTGGGGCAGCAGACGCACTAGCACCTAGAGCAGCAGCCTCACCAGCACCTAGAGCAGCAGCCTCAATGCCCGGGTCAGGCGGAACACACAGGTAACAGTCACCCTCATCACTAGTAGGCAATGCATACATGGCAGTGAGGATAGCATCATAGTCAAGAGTATAGATATCTACCCGCAGCCGAAGCAGCTCCACCCAGTCGGGGAGCTCAGCCGCGTCGCCAAACTCCGTACGCCAGGCGTCGCTCAGACGGGCGAAGCAGCGGGACTCTGCGTGACCCAACGTCCCGCAAGGCTGACCAGTCCGAGCACCAGTGCGAATGACGTACGGACAGCGAGCAGTACCCCGTGACCCGTCACGCTGAGCGTACCACTCACGAAGCTGCTGGGGCGAAAGGACTGCTCACGGACGACGCTGAAGCTGCACCTGGCCACTACAAGCAGCTGCCGAACTACTCACTCCAGGACGACTCCCACTACGGCCACCCCGACAACCCCAACTAGCGTACCACTCACGAAGCTGTTGGGGGGTGAGGGACTCACGCGGGCGACGCTGCAGCTGCACTTGGCCACTACAAGCAGCTGTGGAACTACTCACTCCAGGACGACTCCCACTACGGCCACCCCGACAACCCCAACTAGCGTACCACGCACGAAGTTGTTGGGGGGTGAGGGACTCACGCGGGCGACGCTGGAGCTGCATCTGGCCACGCCAGGAGCAGCAGTAGCAGTAGAAAGAGCAGCAGCAGTAAGAGCAGCAGTAACAGCAGTACGGGCAGGGCAGTGCTCACCAGTGGCGAGAAGGGCAGGCGTACGACGGCGGCAACGGCGAGGCCGCTACCACTGTAGAGCGAGAGCTCCGCGGCAGCTGCAGGGGTGGCTGCTCCAGGGGCGGCAGTTGTAGGGGCGACTGCTCCAGAGGCGGCTGCTCCAGGGGCGGCTGCTGCAGTGGCGGCTGCTCCGGGGGCGGCTGCTGCAGTGGCGGCTGCTCCAGGGGCGGCTGCTGCAGTGGCGGCTGCTCCAAGGGCGGCTGCTGCAGTGGCGGCTGCTCCAGGGGCGGCTGCTGCAGTGGCGGCTGCTCCAGGGGCGGCTCGGCTGCTGGGCGACTCGGCGGCTCGGCTGCTCGCTAGGGGCGGCGACGGGGCCGGGTAGGGGCAGCGACGGGGCCGCTAGGGGCGGGGAGCGGCGACGGGGCCGCTAGGGGCGGCGACGGGGCCGCGTAGGGGCGGCTACGAGGCCGCGTAGGGGCGGCGACGGGGCCGCGTAGGGAGGGAAGCGGCGACGGGGCCGCTAGGGGCGGCGACGGGGCCGCGTAGGGGCGGCTACGAGGCCGCGTAGGGGCGGCGACGGGGCCGCGTAGGGAGGGAGGCGGCGACGGGGCCGCTAGGGGCGGCGACGGGGCCGCGTAGGGGCGGCGACAGGGCCGCGTAGGGAGGGAGGAGGCGACGGGGCCGTTAGGGGCGGCGACGGGGCCGCGTAGGGGCGGCGATGGGGCCGCGTAGAGAGGGGAGCGGCGACGGGGCCGCTAGGGGCGGCGACGGGGCCGCGTAAGGGCGGCGACGGGGCCGCGTAGGGGCGGCTACGGGGCCGCGTAGGGAGGGGAGCGGCGACGGGGCCGCTAGGGGCGGCGACGGGGCCGCTAGGGGCGGCAACGGGGCCGCGTAGGGGCGGCGACGGGGCCGCGTAGGGGCGGCGACGGGGCCGCGTAGGGAGGGGAGCGGCTACGGGGCCGCTAGGGGCGGCGACGGGGCCGCGTAGGGGCGGCGACGGGGCCGCTAGGGGCGGCGACGGGGCCGCGTAGGGGCGGCAACGGGGCCGCGTAGGGAGGGAGGCGGCAACGGGGCCGCTAAGGGCAGCGACAGGGCCGCTAGGGGCGGCTACGGGGCCGCGTAGGGGCGGCAATGGGGCCGCTAGGGGCCGCAAGGGGCCTGGAAGGGCGGCAACGGGGCCGCTAGGGGCGGCGACGGGGCCGCTAAGGGTGGCGCGAGGGGCCGTGAGAGGGGCCTCTAAGAGAGCTCGACAGAAGGGCGGCCCACAAGGCGCGCCTCGGGCAGGAGCGACTGTCGCTCCGGTCAGAAAAAAAAGGTTTCAGTGGTGGGCCCAAGGAAGCGTTCCCACTAGGGAACCTGCTCTATACCATGTGAAGAAATGAGGAAATGAATTGACTAAGGGAAAGTTGGGTACAAAAGCAAACCCTAGAAAACTGTACCCCATATGTGCTACCCCACTATAGCCTACAGTAGCTATGTCATATAAATCTGACAATTTCCACATGCGTAGGATGAGCCGTCAAGGCTCATTGGAGTCACGTCGTTGTTGTTGTTGTTGCTGTTGTGTGACTGCGCAGGTACCGATTGCTGGTGTTGCTCGTAGAAGGACATGAAGGAGAAAAACTTCTCCATCATGCTTTGGTCGAAGCCTGCAGGTTGATTCGCAGGAGACTCGTTGGATGTTGCCCTGGGTCTTGTTGCCGTACCCTCCTCTGTCTGTAGGCCAGAGGCAGGAGGTGGAGTAGGAGTAGTGCCGGGAGAACCAATAGAGGAACTCCTTTCCTTCTGAGTGGCCATGTCTTCTGATGTTGTAGGTGTTTTGATAGTTGAATTCCCCCTGATCGCTCTCATACCATGTTGGGCTGAGAAAAGCCCTTAGGATCTTTTGCAGGGGTGAACTCTGGGTAGGACTGATGTAATAGCGGAAGCGTTTAGTGAAGAATTGTGAACCACCTTGCGCTAGTATGTGAGGGCAAAATAAGTTGATTAAAGCAAAGAGATACATGATTATATATGAGTACAAGGAATATGAAGAGGTACAGTTATAACTACTTTACTGTTGCTGTTGCGGTTCGATACAGTGACGACTCGGGCAACTGCTCTGTAGCGAGTCAGTTGTGTGTCCTTGCTGTCGCGCTGTACTTGTCAGGTCAAAGGTCGCTGACCTTTGACTTTCGCGTAACCTCCAGCAGTTACTTCAACCTCCGAGGGTTGACTCGCTGGTGCCTCGATATGCTTCGCTTCGCTTGTGCCTCGGTGTTTCGACACGACAGAGGCGCTTAAGCTCGATTGTTTCCAACACTATGAACATGTGCCACATGACTATTGAATGTTTTACAAAAAAATGAGGGGGTGGTCACAAATGGGTAAAATAATAGTATAGCACCCGGGTGAATATACATAGACACATGTAAATGTATTTCAGTGACACCCGGGTGAATTATATCAAGGTTTCCACTTTAGCAAGCAGAATGGATGTGAGTGAAAGCACCGCGTACAATTGTCACGAACAGTGCCACCACACTCGTGCCTTCGTGTACAACAGCCTATTTCCTTTCAGGCTTGGTGTTGGCTTGGCACACAGGAGTCTCCTGCCGCAGAAAAGGCAGCCCCCTTTTACGGCCCACTTGGAGATGGCCATTTACCTTTTCAAGACACTAGTAACACCATTGGGCCATGGGCAGTAGCAGTTGAACGAGCCGCTCGCAGCTTAAGCAGCTGGTACTGCAGCCACAGCCACAGCCACTCCTCCACCAGCAGCAGCAGCAGCAGCAGCAGCTCTCTTCCTCCCATGCCACACCACCGCATGCCGTCGTTCACCTCACCACCACACCACACCACTACTGACCTCTTCCCCCATCCGCCCCTCCCACCCTGCCAGTACGTGCCTTCTTCCTTCCTGCCCCCTTGCCCACGGGCGTCTCAGGCAGCAGGTGCAGCTTCTGCCTTCGCCTCCTCCTCGGCTTGTCCTCCTCCTCCTCATCCTCCGCCTCCTCCGCTCCCCCCTGCCCCCCCTCCTCCCCCGCTTCCACCCCCTGCTCGCCATACCCCCTCCTAGCTGCCGCACCCACCCTTCTACGACCACTGGCAGCAGCAGCAGCAGGGAGGAGACGCATAAGATCAGTGTCGTGAGTGGCAGGGAGAGGGAGTGGGAAGGAGGAGAGGGCAGCACCGCCTCCTCCACTGGCGTCCTCGAAGCTTCCACTGCGAGCTGGCGATGCTGCTAGGGATGAGGACGCTGATGCTGATGGGGATGGGGATGGGGAAGGTGGTGGTGATGGTGACGATGGTGGTAGTGACGATGCTTTCCTGACACGTCTAAAACGTGGTTCGGGAGATGGGGACAGGGAAGGAGACACACGCGATGGCGGCGATGGGGAGCGCGAGTGAGAGTGCGAGCGAGAGTGTGAGTGAGAGTGTGAGTGAGAGTGTGAGGTATCCTCTCCATGCAAGTGTTGATGCTCAACCAATACAGCTTCGTCCTCCCTCTCCTCCTCCACCCCCTCGAGTTCACATGGGTCCTTCTGCTTTGCGTTCTTCTCCTCTTCCCTCCGCTTTCGAGGAGGAGTGAGCACGGCATCTCTTCGCACGCCTGGCAGCACCACCGGCTCCATGGCTGTGGCGGTGCGTCTGCGCTTGCGTGGTGCTACCACCACCACCCTCTCCTCCTCCTCCTCCTCCTCCTCCTCCTCCTCCTCCTCTCCCTCCTCTATTTCCTCCTCCTCCTCTTTCTCCTCTTCCTCTTCTTTCTCTTCCTCTTTCCACTCACCAAACCCACTACCCATCGCCCTGTCTTGCGATCTCCCTGCATCCATATCTCTGCCCTTGCCTCCGTCCATATTTCTCTTACTCGCATTCCCCAAAGCACCTCCTCCTCCTCTGCCTCCTTCTCCTGCTGCTTCAGCAGAAAACGCATCCCCATCCTCGCTACAAGCAGCTCCACTGCTTGCCTTTGTTCCACTCGCTTCGTCTTGGCCTCTTCGAGCACCTCCCAGCCCCTCCAGTCCCTCCTCTCCCTCCGTCCCCTCTTCACCCTCCTCTGGGGGCTCCTCAGCCGCTCCTTGAGCCCTTTCTTCCCCTCCCGCTTCTCCACTTTACCAGCATGCTTGCCTACCTTCACCCCACTCCCACCAACAGCAGCAGCAGCAGCACCACCACTGCCACCCCCACCCCCAGCACTGCCACCAGCACCACCAGCACCACCAGCACCACCAGCACCACCAGCACCCACACCTCCTCCATCTGCTGATCCTGCACTGGCTTGGTCCAGCAGAGCAGCCAAGTGCCCCAACATGCCTGCCCGCTCCTCCCTTGCAGCACAACCACCAGAACCACCACCAGCACTAACACAACTCGCAGAAGCGGCGGCAGTCGCTGCAGTTGCCGCTTCTCCCACCGCCACACTCGGTTTCGACACAACAAATCCCGGACCTTTCCCCTTCTTCTTCCCCACCTTCGCAGCGCTGCCAGCTGCAGCACCAACCCCTGCGGCAACTACACCACCGCCCCCTGCAGCACTTCTCCCAACCCCTGCTGCTCCTAGTGCTGCTTCTCCAGCAACCCCCCCTGCTTTCCCTCCTGCACTCGCAGCACCCACCTTCCCTGCCCCTGCGCCCTCCCCCTTCCCCGCCCCGGCCAAACGCCCCTTGCCACCTGCTCGCTTGCTACCCGCTGCAGTGGCAGCAGCACGAGCGGGAGAAGCAGGGGTATCTGCAGCAGCAGAGGTGCTGTGCTTTCCTCCTCTGGGCACCCCCTTGGCAGTGAGCTCGTCTCGTGCACCGTGTGTGTGAGTGACAGTCGCACCACCGTGTGCGTGAGCGAGAGGCGAATCACTGAAAGAATCCCCTGGCAGGGCAGCAGTAGCAGCGGCAGCCATGGCAGCCAGAGCAGCCACTGCATCCTCCTCCTCCTCGCCCTCCACGGCTCCTGCTGCTGCTGCCCGTCCTCCTGCAGCCCCTACTGCTGCTGCCTCGCCCACTGCATGCGCCCCTCCTGTTACCCCTCCCACTGCTCCTACCGATACCGAGCCCAGAGCAGAGGGACCGAAAAGGCTGCCTCTGCTGCCCACCAGCAGCTCACCATGAGCCCACCTCCTCCCCTCATCGCCCCCCACGAGCCCCTTTCCCTCCCCAGCGCCCACCAGAGAGATCTTCATTCCCGGCCCCTCATCCGCTGCTGCCTCTCTGCTGCTTGCTGGGGCTGCAGCTGCTGCAGAGACGGCCCGGAGGAGGGGAGAGGAGGGGGGGAGGAGGGCAGGCGGGCGGAGGAGTGGGGAGGAGGAGGAGAGGGAGGAGGTCCGCCTGGGCTTGAACTCTGGCGGTGGTAGTAACAGGGACATGGAGGGAGCAGCATCACCAGCGGCAGCAGCAGCAGCCGTGGGATGAATAAAGGGAGGGGCAGTAAGGGGGGGTTGCAGCAAACGGGCTGACGCAGGTGCTGCCGCTGCTCCCCCTGCTGTTGCAGCAGAAGTAGCAGCGGCGGCGGCGGCGACACCAGCGGTGAGAGCGGAAGGCAGAGAACCGGGAGGAACAAGAGCGGATGAGGTAGCAAGAGGAGGAGAGGGAGACGATGCTCCCTTCCCTCGCATCACCACACCTGACCCCTCTCCCGTGCCCCGCTCAAACTGAGACGACTTTTGAGGCGCCTCAAAAGCCTTCCCTCGCATCACCACACCTGACCCCTCTCCCGTGCCCCGCCCACCACCACCCTCCTTTCTACTCCGCTTCCCTCCTTCCCCTCTCCCTCCTCCTTTCGACCCTCCTCTCCCTTGCCCTCCCTCCCCTCTCCCTTGCTCACTTCTCCCTTTCTGGAAAGGACTGGGTTGCATAAGACTGGGTGGAATGGCAGAGGAAGGGGCAGGGGAGTGGGAGGTGTGCGGATGGGTACGAGGGGGAGCGGATGGGTGCAGAGGAGCCGTGTGAGTGTGGCCATGTGGAGAGGCATGTGTGTGTGTGGGGGTCGTGTGGAGTGCGGCTGACGGGTCATAGATGGGTGCTGCTGCATGGGTGGCGAAAGCGGGCGGCACAGAGAGGAGACCATTTGTCATAATCCCGTGAGCTGCACGCTCGCCTTGACCTCCCATCTCCACACTGCCTTCCAACGCAACCCCCTTTTCTCTGTGGCCCCCATCGCCCTCCCCCTCCACCTCTCCTCCCTCCGCCTCTCTTCCCTCCACCTCATCCTCAGTCTCCTCACCTTCATCACCCTCTCGCTCTCCCTCAACTTCCTCCGTGCCCACATCCCTCTCCTCTTCTTCCTCCTCTCCCTCTCCCTCCCCCTCCTCCTCCTCCACCTCCTCCCCCTCCTCCCCTTCCCCCTCCCCCTCTTCCCCATCCTCCACCTCTCGCTCCTCACTCTCCTCTGTCCACTCATCCACCTCACGCCCACCACAACCCCCTCCATCACCTTCTGTTTTCAAACGTTTAAACATCCGCTCTTTGTTAAGCAATCCACTTAGCTCACCGCCAATGCCATGCATGCTCCCACTGCTGCCCTTCCCATCCTTATCAACGCCTACCAGTCTGCCCTCCAATTCTCCTCTCTGCACAATCTCGCTGTCTAGGCTGCCACTTATCTTTTCCGCTGCCCGGGATCGGTCACGTGCCCGAACAGGTTTACCAGGAGCACCAGCCTTCGGCAGCCAGGGAAACGGGGGCAGAAAAAACTCTTCATAACTCCCCAGCAAAGCATCATCACCGTTGCTGGTCTCACCACCGCCTGCCTTCTCTTTCTCGTTCTGCCCATCTGACTGCACCCCTATCTGCTTACTCTTGCCTGCAACGCCCGTAACCCCCCTCTCATGCTCTCTGCTTTGCCCATGCATGTCCTTTGACCGTGTTCCTTCTGATTCTGGGAGCAGCGAGGAGAGGAGCGAGTCGAGAGACAGGCAGGGTGGGAGGGCGAGGAGGGAGGGGAATGCGGCAACTGGATGGAGGGGGAACCTGCTAGTGGGTCATATAGTGTGGGCGGGGAGACAGGGAAAGGGGAAGGAAGGGGAGGTTGAATTGAGTAACAAGTCCTTTATGACATGCACATGTTCAGAACAGAAAGCACAAGTGGGTTGAGAGCAAGAGCGGCACGCGTGGGGTTGATGATGGAGGCAGTGAGGCAAGGATTGGTTATAATGCGGCGTCCCAATGGCGAGTAGGGCATGAGGTGGCAATGTGAGAGGCGTTCCCTGGCGATTTTTGAGTTGACTCAAAAGTCACCTCGTTCCCTGGCGATGTGGATGCTTGCTTACCCCAATGGTGCACTGAACGGTACTTGGTCTTTATGACTAGGCCGCTCTACTATTGCCTTCTGCTTGCTGCTTGGCTGGGTTCTGCTGGGCTCTCGGGCGTGAGTGAGACTGCTGGGTGAACTGGCATGGCCAGTGTGTGTGGGTGTGTGTGTGCTGGTGTGTGTGTTGGGTGTGTGCGTGTGAGCTTGTGAGGGGCCGTGAGTGTGCGCAGAGTGAGAGAGGTTCACGTAGGGTGCACCTAAAGAGGGGACATGCAGCAACTGAGGCATGGTGGGTGCAGGGGGGTGGGCGGGGTTGGAGATGGGTGCAGAGGGATGAGGAAGCGAAGGAAGGGAGTTGAGAGGAGGCGTGAGGGGAGGAGGCATGGAGGAAGGAGGCTGAGAGGGTGGGTGGAAGTGCAGAGCGGGAGGGGCCTTGTGTGGGTAGAGGCGGGGCAGAAGGAGAGAGTCGACCTGATGGGCACACAGGGACACACAGGGGGATGGGAGGATCAGGAGAGGGGAGTGAGTAGACAGAGGATGAGTGAACCAGGAAAGAATGTGGCCAATCAAGGCAATGAGCAGACGCACAAATGGGCTGCAGAAGCAGGAGTTAACGCAGAAGCAGGAGTCATAACTTATAAGCAGAAGAATAAATTACCAGCAGACAGCAGCAGCTGCCGCACTGCACTCACCTCATCATCAATCTTCTCCCAAAAGTCCTTCCCTGCCCCTCTCCTCCCCTGCAGCCTCCGCACCACTTTCCGCCCCTCCGCCACTCTCCTTTCTTCCTCCGCCCTTTTCTCCTCCTCTTCTCTCTCCGTCTCCTCTGCTCTCTTGCCCACCTCTCTCGTCTCCCCCTCTCTCTTCTCCCCATCCACCCCGGTCTCATTCTCCACCCGCCCACTTCTCTCACCATCCTCTCTGTCCTTCCCTTCCACGCCTCCACCCGAGCGTGTATCCAAGCCTGCAACCGAGCCTAAGTCCGAACCTGATATCGGCACGGAATTCAGGTCTGTGTGCGCGGGGGCAGAGGCTTGGTGAGGAGGGCAGGCAGTGGGGGCTGGAGCGACGCTACCAGGGAGGGAAGGGGCAGAGAGATGCTGATGTGCTGCTGGCACCATGTGGGTCGGCGTGTGAGGAGCAGTGGGGAGGACAGTGGGAGGGCGGAAGGAGGGTGGGAGGGAGAGGAGAGTGGGCGGAGCTGAGAGGTGAGCAGAGCACAGCTGAGACCCCAGAGCCGACCCTGCTGCTGCTGGAGCGAGTGGTGCTGCTGCTGCTAGTGGTGCTCCTGCCACTGGTGCTGTTGCTGCTAGTGGTGCTCCTGCCACTGGTGCTGTTGCTGCTAGTGGTGCTCCTGCCACTGGTGCTGTTGCTGCTAGTGGTGCTCCTGCCTCTGGCGCTGCTGCTGCTGTTACTGCTGTCGGGGTCGACTGGTGACTGGGAGCAAGAGGAAGAGGAGGAGGCGAAAGGGCAGGGGAGGAGGGCGGGGGAAAGGACGAGCGAGGCGTGGGGAACGGGGAGGGAGGGTGGGGCTGGGCCAAGAGGAAAGCAAGGGCGTGCTGTTGTTGGGCTGGAGATAGGCGCATGGCTGGTGATAGGTGTACAGCAGGTGACAGAAGTGCTGCAGTTGCACGCCCACTCACACCGCCCTCTCTTTCTCTTCCCGCTCCACCACCTGCTGCTTGCCCCACACTTGCTGCTCCTCTACCTCCTCTTCTTCCGCCTCCTACTGTTGCCCCGGTCCTGCTCTTTCCAGCCAGCATTCTGCGCAGATATGCCGTGGTGAGGCGAACCCTCTTCGGGGGAGGAGGTGCATTGTCAGATGCCCCCCTGCCTGGTGCAGTGGCAGTTGCATCGACCTCCTGAGCCACAGCACCGGCAGCATCAGGCGTAGTAACAGCATCAATAGCTGTTGCAGCACCAGCAGCATCAGGCGTAGTAACAGCATCAATAGCTGTTGCAGCACCAGCAGCATCACTCGTAGTAACAGCATCAATAGCTGTTGCACCACCAGGTATGGAAACAGAATCAATAGCAGCAGCAGCATGAATGGCAGCACCAGTATCAGTCACAGCAGCGGCAGTGTCAGCATCAGGACTCGTGACAGCAGCACCGGGACTCGTGGCAGCAGCATCGGGACTCACGGCAGCAGCATCGGGACTCGTAGCAGCAGCATCGGGACTCATGGCAGCAGCATCGGGACTCGTGGCAGCAGCATCGGGACTCGTGGCAGCAGCATCGGGACTCGTGGCGGCAGCATCGGGACTCGTAGCGGCAGCATCGGGACTCATGGCAGCAGCATTGGAACTCGCGGCAGCAGCATCGGGCCTCGTAGCGGCAGCATCGTGACTCATGGCAGCAGCATCGGGACTTGTGGCAGCAGCATCGGGACTCGTAGCGGCAGCATCGGGACTCATGGCAGCAGCATCGGGACTCGCGGCCGCAGCATCGGGACTCGTGGCAGCAGCATCGGTTGCATCACGAACAGCAGCAGCTCCAGGAGCAGAAGCATTAGAAGCAGAATCACCAGTAGCACCACGAGCAGAAGCACCAGCAGCACCAGTGGCAGAAGCACCAGTACTAGTAGCATCAGCAGCACCAGGAGAAGCAGCATCAGCAGCAGCCACATCAGCTGGAGCACCAGTAACAGTGGCACCACTACCATTCACAGCAGCCGCAACAGCAGGGATTGCAGCAACACTTGCATCAGCGACTGCAGCAGTCTCAACAGCAGTTGCAGCAGCCTCAACAGTAGCTGCAGCAGCCTCAGACTTGGTGTGGCAGGTCAGAGCCACTTGTCTCTCCACAGCAAGCGGACCTTCTTTCAAGGTGGAGGGAGGGGCTCGTGAAACACACTCTGCATCCGCCTTGGCAGTCTCTGTGTCAGCTTCGGCAGTCTGTGTGTCAGTTTCAGCAGTTTCTGTGTCATCTCTGGCAGTCTTGGCAGCAGCAGGAGCAGCAGGCAGGTTGGGGGAGAGAGGAGCAGCGGTGGCAGTAGGAACGTTGGGGGAGTGAGCAGGAGCAGTGGCAGCAGCAGCAGCAGCAGCAGGAGCAGGAGCAGGAGCAACAGCAGCAGGAGCAGCAGGCAAGTTGGGGGAATGAGGAGCAGCGGTGGCAGTAGGAACGTTGCAGGAGTGAGAGGGAGCAGTGGCAGCAGCAGTGGCTGGAGCAGTGGCAGCAGCAGTGGCAGTAGCAGTGGTAGGAGCAATGGCGGGAGTAATGGCAGGAGCAGTGGCAGGAGCAGTGGCAGAAGCAGAGGCAGCAGCAATGGCGGGAGAAGTGGCAGGAACAGTGGCAGGAGCAGTGGTAGGAGCAGTGGCAGGAGCAGTTGCAGCAGCAGTGGCGGGGCCAGTGGCAGCAGTACTGGCAGCAACAGTGGCAGCAGCAGTGGCAGAAGCAGTGGCAGAAGCAGTGGCAGAAGCAGTGGCAGAAGCAGTGGCAGAAGCAGTGGCAGGTGGAGAGTGGGCAATGGCAGCGACAACAGCAGCCCAGTCGTGGGTGGCTGCACTGTCAACAAGCCCCAACTGCTTCTCCTCTGCCACCCCCGTCACATCCACCGCCCTCACCTCATCCACCGCCCTCACCTCATCCACCTGCCTCATCCCATCCACCTGCCTCACCTCATCCACCTGCCTCATCCCATCCACCTGCCTCACCTCATCCACCTGCCTCACCTCATCCACCTGCCTCACCTCATCCACTTGCCTCACCTCATCCACCTGCCTCACCTCATTCACTTGCACAGCACTGCACGCATGAACCTCGCTCTCCTCCACCACTGGGTTCGATCCTCTCTTCTCCTCCTCCTCTCTACCCACCTCTTCTGCTCTCCTCTTCACTTGCTGAATAACATCCTCCTTCATCCCGTTGTTTTCTCCTTCATCTCCCTGTTCACACTCCTCTGCCCACTCTCTCTTTCTCTTCTGCCTCTCCTCCCTTCCAACCCCGCAACTTTGCAAATCGTTATTTCTCCCCTTTGCTCCGTCCTTTGCTTCCTTCTCATCCTCACGCTCCTTCCTTCCCTCCTCTTTCTCCTCCTTTTCCTCCTCCCCTCTCTCCTTTCCCTCCTCTCCTCTCTCTTTCCCTTCCTCTCCTCTCTCTTTCTCCTCTTCTTTCTCCTTCCCCTCCTCCCCTCTCTCCGTCCCATCCTCCTCTGTCTCCTTCCCCTCTTCCTCTCTATCCTTCCCCTCCTCCCTTCTCACCTTCTCCTCTTCGTTCGCCTTCCCATCCTCCCCTCTCTCCTTTCCCTCTTCCTCTCTCTCCTTCCCCTCCCTTCTCGCCTTCTCTTCCTCTTCATTCACCTTCCCCTCCTCCCCTCTCACCTCTCCCCTTTTTTCTTTCTCCTTCCCCTTCACCCCTCTCTCCTTCCCGTCCTCCCCACTCACCTTCCCCTCCTCCTCTTTCTCCTCCTCCCCTTTCTCCTCCTCCCCTTTCTCCACCTGCCCTTTCTCCTCCACTCCTGTGCTCTCCTCCACTTTCCCCTCCACCTCTCTCTCCTTCCCCCGTGCCCCAGCTTCCACTGCCACCTCTCCAGAACCCACTCGCTCTCCACCTCTCCGCTCCACACTCTCCTTCGCTGCCCTCCCGTCTGCCACCCATCCACCCATCAAGCTGCTCGTCTCTCCCCCCTTCCCTGCACCTTCCTTCTCTGCACCCTCCTTCCCTGCACCCTCCTTCTCTGCACTGCTCACTGCCTTCCCGACAAACTTTTCCGTTCCCCCTTCTTTACCAGCCAGCCCCGCCCGTGTCCCCAGCCCACCTTCCCCTTCCTTCCCCTGCTCCCCACCCACCTCTGTGTCCAATCCCGCTCCACCCTTCACACCCCCACCCCTCGCCACTCCCAACCCAGCCAGCTCTTCTCTCTGTCCCGTGTGCTCTGTCTCCTCCCTCTGCTCTCTGTCTGCCACCACGATGCATTGACTCGTCTGATCCGCCCCATTCCCCACTTCTCCACCAACCGCACTGCCAGCATCACCACTCTTGGCCTGCTTAGCACTGTCCCCCGCCTCCACCCCTGCTGCCTCCACACCTGCTGCCTCCACACCTGCTGCCCCCACCCCTGCCACCCCCACCCCTGCCGCCCCCACCCCTGCCACCCCCACCCCTGCCGCCCCCACCCCTGCCACCCCCACCCCTGCCGCCTCCACCCCTGCCGCCTCCACCCCTGCCATCCCAAGCATCGCGTCAAGCACCTCGACCTTCCCTCCCACAGCTGTCTCCTCTACGCTCCCCTCTGCTTCCGCTTCCATCTTCCCCATCCCATCCACACCTCCCGCCGTCTCCCCTGCTTCCCCTGTCTCCTCACCCACTAGCACTGCCGTGCCTCCTTCTCCTTCCCTCCCCTTCGCCTCCTCCCCTTGTGTCCCTTCCCTGAACGCAGTTTCCATTTCAACTGTCCTTTTTATGGCTTCCCCCTTCGCCTTCGCCCTTTCCTCCTTCTTTGCTCCTTCGTCCTCCCCCTTCGCTCTTTCATCCTCCCCCTTTACCCTTTTCTTCTCCTTTGTTCCTTCCTCCGCCGCCTTTGCCCTTTCCTCCTCCCCCTTTGCTCCTTCCTCCTTCCCCTTCGCTCTTTCGTGTTCCCCCTTTGCCTTTTCCTCCACCCCCCTTGCTTCTTCCTCCTCTCGCTTTCTCCCTTCCTCCTCTTCCGTTACCCATTCCTTCTCGCCCTTTGCCCCTTCCTTCCCCCTTTTTGCCCCTTCCTCCTCCTCATTCGCCACTCCATCCATCCCCTTCGCCTTTTCGTCCTTTCCCATTGCAATTTCCTTTTCCCCCTTTCCTTCCTCCTCTCGCATTGCCCCTTCCTTCTTCCCCTTAACCCCTTTCCCCTCCTCCTTTGCCCCTTCCCCCATCCCCATCACCCCATCCCCCTCGTCTCCCCTGGCTGCAGCAGCCCTCACCACCACCGCACCTCTCACACCACCTTCGCCCTCCACCCTCTTCTCCCCCTCTTCCGCCACCACCCCCTCCTCCACCTTCCCCATCCCCGCCTCCACATCACCAACACCACAATTCTCCATGCTGCTGCCTTCCGCCTTCTCTCCACTCTTACTCACCGCTTCCTCCTTCTCTCCACTCCTACTCACCGCTTCCGCCTTCTCTCCACTCCTTCTCACCGCTTCCCCCTTCTCTCCACTCCTACTCACCGCTTCCGCCGTCTCTCCACCCCTACTCACCGCTTCCGCCTTCTCTGCACTCCTACTCACCGCTTCCCCCTTCTCTCCACTCCTGCTCACCGCTACCGCCTTCTCTGCACTCCTACCCACCGCTTCCTCCTTCTCTTCACTCCTACTCACCGCTTCCACCTTCTCTCCATCCCTACTCACCGCTTCCGCCTTCTCTCCACTCCTGCTCACCGCTTCCGCCTTCTCTCCACTCCTGTTCACCGCTTCCGCCTTCTCTTCAGTGGTATCTTTGCCCGCCTCAGCACTCCTCGCACCCTGCTTCACGCCACCCACTTCCCCCACTTCCGTCCCACCCACCTTCCCCATTTCCGCCTTGTCCTCCTTCCGCACACTCTCATTTTGCCAGCCCTTCTCCTTCTCTGCCTCTTCCTCCCCATTCGCCTTCTGCTCCCCACTCACCTTCTCCTCCCCACTCACCTTCTCCTCCCCACTCACCTTCTCCCCATTCAACTGCTCCTCGCCCACATTTGCACCTTTCTCGCCCTCCTTTACACTTTCCTTCCCCTCCTTTGCACTTTCCTTCCCCTCCCTATCACTTTCCTTCCCCTCTTTTACACTTTCCTTCCCCTCCTTTACCATTTCCTTCCCCTCCTTTACACTTCCCTTCCCCTCCTTAGCACTTTCCTTCCCCTCCTTTACACTTCCCTTCCCCTCCTTAGCACTTTCCTTCCCCTCCTTAGCACTTTCCTTCCCCTCCCTATCACTTTCCTTCCCCTCCTTTACACTTTCCTTCCCCTCCTTTGCACTTTCCTTCCCCTCCCTATCACTTTCCTTCCCCTCTTTTACACTTTCCTTCCCCTCCTTTACCATTTCCTTCCCCTCCTTTACACTTCCCTTCCCCTCCTTAGCACTTTCCTTCCCCTCCTTTGCACTTTCCTTCCCCTCCTTTACACTTTCCTTCCCCTCCTTTGCACTTTCCTTCCCCTCCTTTACACTATCCTTCCCCTCCCTTTCACTTTCCTTCCCCTCCTTTACACTATCCTTCCCCTCCTTTGCACTTTCCTTCCTGTCCTTTGCACTTTCCTTCCCCTCCTTTACACTATCCTTCCCCTCCTTTTCACTTTCCTTCCCCTCCTTTACACTATCCTTCCCCTCCTTTGCACTTTCCTTCCTGTCCTTTACACTTCCCTTCCCCTCCTTAGCACTTTCCTTCCCCTCCTTTACACTTCCCTTCCCCTCCTTAGCACTTTCCTTCCCCTCCTTAGCACTTTCCTTCCCCTCCCTATCACTTTCCTTCCCCTCCTTTACACTTTCCTTCCCCTCCTTTGCACTTTCCTTCCCCTCCCTATCACTTTCCTTCCCCTCTTTTACACTTTCCTTCCCCTCCTTTACCATTTCCTTCCCCTCCTTTACACTTCCCTTCCCCTCCTTAGCACTTTCCTTCCCCTCCTTTGCACTTTCCTTCCCCTCCTTTACACTTTCCTTCCCCTCCTTTGCACTTTCCTTCCCCTCCTTTACACTATCCTTCCCCTCCCTTTCACTTTCCTTCCCCTCCTTTACACTTTCCTTCCCCTCCTTTGCACTCCTTCCCCTCCTTTACACTATCCTTCCCCTCCCTTTCACTTTCCTTCCCCTCCTTTACACTATCCTTCCCCTCCTTTGCACTTTCCTTCCTGTCCTTTGCACTTTCCTTCCCCTCCTTTACACTATCCTTCCCCTCCTTTTCACTTTCCTTCCCCTCCTTTACACTTTCCTTTCCCCCCTCTGCACTTCCCTTCCCTCCCTTAGCACCTTCATTCCCCTCCTTTGCTCCTTCCTCCCTGTCCTTTCCTGGCCCATCCCCCTGTGCTTCGACCTGCCCTGCGGTAGCCATCGCGTCGGCATCATGTCCCCCCTCGCCTGCACCAACCACATCCGCTTCCTTCGCCTCATCCCCTCCCTTCGCCTCATCCCCTCCCTTCGCCTCAGTGCTCATCCTCCCAGCCTTCCCCTTTTCCTCTCCTCGCACGTCTCCCTCCATTTTCTCCTCCCTTCCCTTCTCCTGTTTCTCCTCTCTTTTCTCCTCCCTTCCCTCCTCCTGTTTCTCCTCTCTTTTCTCCTCCCTTTTCTCCAGCCCTCCCTCCAATTTCTTCCCCTTTTTCTCCTCCCGTTCCTCCCCTTTCTCCTCCCGTTCCTCCCCTTTCTCCCCCTTTATCTCCTCCATTGCCCCCTCCCTTTTCTCCTCCCTTACCTCCCTTTTCTCCTCCTTCCCTTCCTCCCTTTCCTCCATTCCCTCCTCCTTTCTCTCCCTTCCCTCCTCCCTTCCCCCCTCCCTTCCCGCATGCACCATCTCATCCCCCTCTCTTGTGTCTGCCATCACCCTCCCTCCCTTCTCATTCTCCCCCAATCCCTCCTTCCCCTTCCGCCCCAATCCCTCCTTCCCCTTCCGCCCCAATCCCCCCTTCCCCTTCTCCCCCGATTCCTCCCTCCCCGAACCCCCTTCCCTGTCAAATTCCCCTCTCTCCTCGCTGCACGTGCGTTTGACCTTCATTGCAAGCCCACATCTTTCACCCCCCTCCTCCTCCTCTCGTCCCTCGCTCCCTTCGCTACGCTCCTCCAACCCCCCCAACCCCGCTTCCCCCACCGCTGCTCCCCTCGATGCCGCTTTCCCCAATGCCATCCTCATCCCCGCCAGTGTGCCATCCACTCCCCGAATGCCCCCTTGCTGCTCTCGGTCCTCCCCCACCTTGCCGCCCTCCCCCACCTTGCCGCCCTCCCCCACCTTGCCGCCCTCCCCCACCTTGCCGCCCTCCCCCACCTTGCCGCCCTCCCCCACCTTGCCACCCTCCCCCACCTTGCCGCCCTCCCCCACCTTGCCGCCCTCCCCCACCTTGCCGCCCTCCCCCACCTTGCCGCCCTCCCCCACCTTGCCGCCCTCCCCCACCTTGCCGCCCTCCCCCACCTTGCCGGCCCCCCCCTCCTTGCCGCCTTCCCCCTTCTTGAAGCCCTCCCCCCCCTTGCCGCCCTCCTCTCTCCCACCCTCCTCTCTCCCAACCTCCTCTCCTCCACCCTCCTCTCCCCCAATCTTCCCTCCACCTCCCTTCCATCCCTCCTCACACGTTGCCTCACCCGCACGCTGCTCCCCAGTCCTCGTTTCCCCATTCTCACCCTTCACCGTCCCCCCACTCTCACTAGCCCTCTTCTCCTCACCTCTGTCTGACGCCTTTCTCTCATCTCCATTCACCCCCTCGCCCTGCCTCGCACTGCCTGCTACGTCCTCGTGCCTCATCACATCGCTCTGCTTTTCAAACCTTCCTTCCCTCTTAGGGAGCTCCCCGTCCCGCCTCTCCTCCTTCCTCTCATCCGTCGTCTCATCCCTCCTCTCCTGCTGCTGCTCTCTGGTCCCCTCTGCTGCAACCTTCGTTTCGCCTGCTGCTGCCACCTTCGTTTCGCCTGCTGCTGCAACCTTCGTTTCGCCTGCTGCTGCAACCTTCGTTTCGCCTGCTGCTGCAACCTTCGTTTCGCCTGCTGCTGCGACCTTCGTTTCGCCTGCTGCTGCGTCCTTCGTTTCGCCTGCTGCTGCGATCTTCCCCTCGTCCGCTGCGACCCTACTTTCGTCGCCTGTCACCTTCTCATTCTCGTCAGCGAAACAAGTCGCCTTCGCCTCGTCGCCTGGAGCCCTGACGGCGCTACTAGCAGCGCACGCTGCCCTGGCGACGCTACTAGCTTCGCCAGCAGTATCGGCGACGCTACTTGCTTCACCAGTACCCCTATCTGAGGCTCCCCCTGCCGCGACCCTCCCTGTCTCACAAACAACTGCTTCGCCTGCAACCTTCAGTGAGGCAGCCATGGCTTTATCGTCCGCTTTAACGGCTTTATCGTCCGCTTTAACGGCTTTATCGTCCGCTTTCACGGCTTTATCGTCCGCTTTAATGGCGTTATCGTCGGCTTTAATGGCTTCATCGCCCACGATGGCTTTATTGTTGATGGCTTTATCGGCAGGTTTAATTGCTGTATCGTCCGTCTTAGTCGCTGTATTGTCCCCTTTAAAGCACGTTCTGTCCGCTTTAAGGGTCGTATCCTCCACTTCGATTGCCTTATCTGTCGCTTTAACGACTGTATCGTCTGCTTTCACTGCTGCGTCATCACCTCTAACTGCTGCGTCATCAGCGTTAACTGCTGCGTCATCAGCGTTAACTGCTGCGTCATCAGCGTTAACTGTTGCGTCATCTGCTGTAACTGCTACAATACCCTCTCCTGCCTTCTCACCCCCACGCTCCCCCGCCAATTCCATGCGACCGTCTTCCTTCGCCTCGCCTGCGCCCTCGGACGCTTGTCGCTCATCTACCTGCCGGGCCTCTGCCGCTCCTCTGCTAACCATCGCGCGCTCCATCCCTCCGCTCCACCGTGCCCCGCCCGACACGCTTTCAGAGCGCGCTGTAATGCATCAGCGGATTGTCGCGACGAATTGGAATTGAGAAATCGACTCTACCCTGGACCGAATCTCACGGGTTTCCGATTCCCCAGTACTCGTCGTCACAGGCAGAGGAAGGCTTTTGGATGAAACGAGAGAGGGGCTTGAAAGCGCGAATTGAACGGCAGGGCTTGGGGTGAGGAAAGCACTCCACGGGACTGGGATGGGATGGGAGAGGGCTTGTCCAAGGGTCGTGAATACGGTTCAGTTTGTTCTCTCGACGTAATATATCGGTTAAGTAGGGTAGTGAAAACTTTCCGAAACGCTTCAGCAAGGCCATGCAGCCCACGCGGTAGCAAGTGCCATTCCCTGACCGTTCAAGGGAGGGTGGGGGGAGAAGTGAGGCTGCGTTGCGTCAGTCCAGCCATCGTGGTGTGGAGTCACGACGCCAAGCGAGCGTGAGGTAACCACGTAGATTGTCGCTATCAGAATGGGGGGTGGATTTGTACGCAAGGTCGATATTGCATTATGTTACCAGACTCTATCAGTCCTAAACTAATGTCAGAATTTCTTTTAGAAACCAGTTACTGCACAAAAGCTTCACAAAAAAATGGATTCAACTCGTTTGAGTGTATTCCACCATGCCATCACACGACAACTGCAACATAATGGGCTCCTTGTCCGCACCTCTAGTTGCAGTGGCAGCACTGCTGCTGCCACCTCTGCCATCACTCTCCCTGCTATCAAAAGCTTCCCCCTCCTCCGTACCACCACCAACACTCGTTCCAAGAAGAACTCTCTTCACCTGCCTGTTCAAACCAACACCACTTGACCTACCACCATTTGCTTTGTGGCCCCCCTCTCCCTGACTTTTCTCAAACACAAGCCTAGCACCTCTCATCCCCCCCACCTTGCCTCTCCCGCCTCCCCTGCTCCCCATGCTGCTTCCCCCGCCTGCCCCCAACCCCTCTGCCCCCACGAGCCTGTCGGAGTCACCCGAACGAATTTTTCCATCTTCGGATGAATCCCCCCCTTTTTCTGCTCGGCCCTGCCCTGCGCCCCACACGTCCACATCGCGCCACGCCCCCCACACTCGCTCCTCCTCACTCCCCTCCTCACTCTGCCTCCTCTCAATCAGCACCACCCCTTCAGCTGCCAGCCTGGCATGACCTGGCGCTGAGTCAGTCCACGTCAGCGCGCCCTCCATCTGCACAGTGCCCCGCACAGCATCTCTGGGAGCTGACAGCCTGGCAGGCCCATCTGCCGTGGCAGCAGCCAAAACAACAGTGGCAGATATGGTAGTATCTACAGGTATGGTATCAATAGGTATGGTATCTACAGTAGTGTAGTCACCCACACCTAAAACATTCCCCATCCAGACGTTTCTCTGGTCCTTGATTCCGGGCAGAAAAAGCCGTCCCGTGATGGGAATGGTAACAAGCACTGATGAGCCCTCCTCTGCCAGTGCCCCCACCTGCCCTGCACCTTTCCACCCACCAGCAGCACCATCCAACGTCTCCTTCCGACCCACGTGTGCATCATCGCCCTTGTGCCCCCGCTGCTGTCCCCCCTGGTGGTCCCCATGGGGCTCTTCCTGCTGCCCCCTCTTGTGCCCCACTGTGCGAGGAGCCACCATGGTCCACACCGCTGCCCCCTGCTCCGTCAGCGGGCTCTCAAACACAACCTCGCCTCGAATCACCCCCTCCAATGTCTCACCCTCTGCTGCCACACCTGCTGGTTCATCTGGAGTATCAGCATCATCGTAGTCATCACCATGACCAGCATCACCGCCTTTCAACCCACCAGCCGCGCCCTTCCCTTGTGCCTCCACCTCGCCCGCTTGTGCCCTCCTCTCATCACCCCCTGCTGCCTCACCCCCGCTTTTCACCCAACACGCAAACGAGCCCGGCGACAGCACCACGGCTGCTCGCGTTGCTGCGCCCCCCTTGCCAATGCCCACTGCTGCTGCCCTGTGGTCTTCTGTTCCCCTCGCCCCGTTTCCCGCCCTCCTGCTGCTGCCACCATCCCCATCGCCCCTGCTGCCTACAGTACCTCCTCCCCTGCCACTCACTGCCACACTCCCAGCAGCACCTGCCGGCACCACCTCCCTCCCGTGGACACTCACCAGCATGCTCCGCGACACAGACAGCCCCATGGGTGCTGCTGGTGGGTTCAATGCGGTACGGATGGGTTTCTGGACTTCGTTAGCAAATGGGTCCTCCACAGCCCATCCCTCCTGCACCCAGTTCTGTGTCGACTCAACACTAGCCTCCTCCATTCTATTCATCATATTCCCCTCCTCCACCCCAACCCTCTTCTTCCCCAAAGCCCCACCCTCCTCCTCCCCTGCCCCCTCGCTCCCTTCGCCCCCGTCTCCTCCTTCCACCTCTCGCCAGAACAGCGGAGGTTTATGCACGTGCACGGACTTATTACTTTTACCGAAGAAGCTTATAAGGAGGTCTTCCAGAGGCCCCTCCAGGAAGCGCTGCTCCACGTGGGCCAGCAGCGGCAGCAGGTGGCTCGCCTCGCCCCGCAGCAGCAGCGCCTGCACGCCCCTCACACCCCGCAGCACTGATGCCCACCCGCCCTCGTGAGACGCCCCTCCTGCTTCTTCTCTCTCCCCCGCCTCTATGCCCCGTGCGTCCATTGTGGCCCCTGCTTGGGCTGTGCCCTCCTCCTCTGTGCCCCCGGCGTCTATTGTGCCCCCTGTTTCGACTGCGTGCCCTGCTTGTGCGTCTGGCGCTGTGGGTGGTGGTGGTGCCGGTCGTTGGCCTGCGAGGGACACCACGCCCCAGTCCCTTCCTCGCAGCTCCCGCACCACAAACCGTTCCATCGCCACATCATACCGCTCTCTCACCCGCACTCCCCCTTCCCCCCCTGCTCCTCCTCCTCCCCCTCTCGCCCCTCCTCTTCTGGCTGCCGTCCCTGAGTTCCGAGTGCGCTGGTGGGGTGCGTGCAGGAAGAGCACGTGGCGGGGGGAGGAGGCAGCGCACTGCCGCACAGCATGCACGAACTGCACTGTCCGTTGCACCTCCCCCTGCCACCATTGCCACATGCACGCCGCTCTCACTCTCTCCACACACCTCTGCTCCTTCAATCCTTGCACTTGTTGCTCCTTCACCCCCTGCTGCTCCTCCAACCCTTGCCGCCGTTGCTGCTGCTGCTGCAACTCCCCCTGTTTCCTCGCCCCATCTTGCTGCCCCGAGGCAGAGGCGGCACCGAGAGCCGTCCAGAGGTGTGCAGTGCGGTGGGGAGGGAAAAACCGCGGCGAGTAGGCACCAAGCAGCCGCTGCCTGGCTGCTGCTGGCAGGGCGTGAGCGAGCGAGCAGAGGGCAGGTGGCGCCTGCACCAGATCCACCTCAAAATCAGCTGATAGTTCCCTCAGAACCGGCCTGTACCCATCCTCCTCATCACCCTCACCATTTCCACCCTCACCACCACCATCTCCTCCATCCTCCTCTTCCTCTCTCTCTCCCCCTCCCTCATCCGTCTTTGCAGCTTCATTCCTCCCAATATCCCACCCCTCTTCCGCCGCCCCATCCTCCTCGCCTGCTCTCTCCTCCCCGCTCCTCTGCTGTCTCCACTTGTCCCTCTTTTCCGAGCCTGGCATCGAGGCTCGGCAGCCGGGGCTGTAAGCCACGGCGCGCATGGACCGTTCCAGCAGCAGCCCCTTGGCTCGGTGGCGATCCAGGGAGAGCAGCAGGTCCAGGGCAGGTGAAAGGAGTGCGGATGGGTTTGAAGTGGTGGTGGGGTCTGTGGGAGAAGACTCGCTGTGCTGCTCGCTTCTGCTGCTGCTGCCAGCTGCAGTGGCCTCAGTGGCATGGGCGGGGAACAGATGGCGCAGGGCGGAGAGGGAGAAGGGGTGCGCGGGCTGGGGAGAGGGCGGGGGAAGGGGAGCGCGGGAGGGAGGGGAGCAGGAGCAGTGGGTGGGAGCGATGGCAATGCACAGGCCCCATGCCTGGTTGCCGCCTCCCAAGCTGCTGCTGCTGCTGCTGCTGCTGCTGCTGCTGCTGCTGTCGGTGCTCTCGGCCTGTATGCTGCGGTCGCCCTCACTGCTTCTGCTCGAGTCACCAGCGAAGGCCATGGGGTGGAAGAAGGAGCTTTCCACGAACGCGCTCAGGGGAGGCAGGGACGCCGCAGTGAGGTTTGAACCTGAAAATGAACCTGAACCTGAACCTGAACCTGAACCTGAACATGAACCTGAACCTGAACCTGAACCTGAACCTGAACCTGAACCTGAACCTGAACCTGAACCTGAACCTGAACCTGAACCTGAACCCCTCTCCTCGCCCTCGCTGCCAGCAGCAGCAGTAGCAGCAGACACGCTTGACTTCTCCTCCTCTTCTTCCTCCTCGCCCGCTGCTCTCTCGTAGTGTGACCTCGTCTCCCCTGCTGCCGTACCTGCCGCGCCACTCGCGCGGGGCGCGCCGCCTCGAGTTACGCCGTCGTCCGCCGCGACGGAGTCGATCAGCGCGCTGCAGTCAATTCCGTCCGTTCCTTCGCGCAAACGGAACTCGTCAAACAGTTGACGGAATTCGTCTTGGCAGTCGTCGAGTCCGTCGAGAAACGACGAATGTGCATCGCCATGAGTCGTACCGCTGGCTGCGGAGGGTGCGACGGAGGCCAGGCGAAGGGTGGAGCGGAGGACGATGAGAAGGAGGAGGAGGAGGGCAAGGAGAGAGAGAAGGCAGCAGAGCGCGCCGATGCTGGTGCATACGCCGGTTCCATGGCGCAAGGGGCGGGCGCGCGAGTGGAAGGGGAGTCGGCGGAGGGAGAAGCGCGGGAGAGCGGCGGACGTGTGGGGAGGGGAATGCGCACGCGAAGAGGAGGCTCGGCGCACGATCCCGGCGCTGTCCATCGCGAGAGCGCAAACCCAGTGCTCCGCGCGACTGTGTTTTATAGCAGGGGGAGGCGTCGCGCGTGCGACAACCCCTTGCGACGGCGACCTGTTGTGCGACGCTCGTGTGCGAGCAAGTTGCCATTACGACGTCGCGAGAACGGCTTTCGACGCAACGGATGGAGGAGGGAAATCACGTTGAAAGACGAGCGAATCGACGTGGGCGTGACGATCATGCCGCGTTCTACGGTGGCCGGGACCGCTTGCGCCCCGACCCTTCCAGCAGCGGCTCGGCATTGCTGGGTGACGCGTGAACAGCCAATCGCTTTTGCTGATGCGCTCTTCTGAGCACATCTTGAACTTGGAATAATTAACCGATACTGATCCTCGGTAACATAAGTCCCGCTTCACAGACGAGAGGAACACTCGCAAGCAGCTGTTATATAGTTTTACTACACAGAGCTAACAAGTTTGCTAAAACAAGCTTCCCTTTATTTTCTTCCTTGCAAAACCATTGAAGTGAACGACACACTATTTCTATTACCTTATTTATGCTAAGTAAATTCCTTGTACAAACCAGTGTACAATCGCTACACCAGGCACTAAAACTCCACTATGATGAAATCAACCTAAATCAAATCCTTTAACATCCCTCAGTTCATCCCCAATTGCATCCCGCAACAGCAGCTCACCCAGCGCCCCCAGCGCCCCCAGCACCAACCCTGTAGTACCCAGGTGCACGCTCACCTTCAGCGCAGGCTTTCTGTGCTTGTACGCTGGCGCTGGAGGTGCTTGTAACGAGGGGTAACCTGGCCCAGATGGATTGCTTGATTGGGGGTAAGGTCCTGGATTGGGCAGCGGATCCTGTGGAGGTGGCACAGCGTGACTAAAAGGGGGTGGGGCAGAGTAACCAATAACAGGCGGTGGTGGCGGAGGTGTTGGAGGTGGTGGAGATGGGTGTGCAGCGGTCTGATGGCTGTGAGATGAAGGCTTTCGTGCATCCTCTAGCTGACCTGGCACCCTGATTGGTGCCGCTGCTGAGCCAACTGGCACTGCATCTGCTGGAACTGCTGCATTCTCTTTCCTTGCACAGTCCACGTAAGCACCGTCCACGTCAGCACCGTCCTCAGTCCCTGTGTAGGTGTAGAACGATGGGATGGGTGCAAGCGGCGGCTGCCAGCATGCTGCTCCCCTCTCCGCCCTTCCCCCCTCCCCCCTCCCCGCCTCCGCGGTTCCCCCAATCCGCACCCGCACCGTTACCCATCCGCACTGCGTCACGCGCTCGTCTCCCCCCCCGCGCATCACAGGCAGCTCCGCGCATTGCCACTCCCCCGGTCGGCGGAGCGCCGCGTCCAGCGCCACCGTGGCCGCGCCGAGCGACTTTCGCAGCGAGGCGGAGCTGAAGAGCTCCACGCGCACTTGCGCGCGCGCGTGGGGGGGAAGCGCCGCGGGGGGGAAGGATGCAGCTGCGGAGGAGGCGGAGGAGAGTAACGTCGCGGCAGTGGATGATATGTAATCGGCGGAAGCGGAGGACAAGGGAGAAGCGGGAAAGGGGGACTCGGAAGGGAGGGAAGAGGCGGGCTGCTGCGAAGACGAATCTAAGTGGGGAAGCAGGTCATCCGCTGCGAATTCCGCCGTGAATTGCGGCCCGCCGCCCCAGGTAGGGTTTCGCCCGCCGTTGACGGCAGGCGGCAAGGCTTTCCAGCAGGAGGGGCGGGCGGGGAGGGAGACGAGCGCGCAGGGGCTCATGCGCGCGAAGGGGGGCTTCCGCTCGTTGCGGAGGCCGTGCGCAGATACTACCTCCACGCACACTCGCGCATTGTGGCCGGCTGGCTCTGGCGGGATGAGCTCGCTCATATTTCGAAGTTCGTGAAAGAGAGGGCGAGGGGACTTTCCTAATACACACTTGGATTCTAAGTTGTCTTACAGTGCAGGGGAAAAACCGATACGTTTGACTATAGTGTGAAGGGTAAGAATAGTAGGCATTGAAAGGAATGGTTTTAGAGCCTCTTGAGATAGCTTTCTAGAAAGAGAACAGAGGGCGTGAGGGTTGGGGGGGCCGAAGGTTGTGCTGTGAGGTGGTGGGCAGGGCTGCTGGTCGCTGGGGTTCCCAGGGGTCCTTGGGGGTCGCTGGGGGTCTTGGGGGTCCTAGGGGGCGAGGGTGATGAGGAAGCACCTGTCACGCGGAAAGCAACACCCTTCAACCACCTCATTAGTAACTTCCCCCTTATGCAGAATACACTAGAATAGCTTACTTTTTGATACGATAATTCACAGCACTAACAAGTTTCTTCCACGAAATGTCCCACCATTTCTTTGCTCACAACCATCACAGTGAAAAGCGCAGTTTGTACTTCTTACCAGCCATATGTACAAAAGCACAGTACACTCGCTACACCGGAGACACTAAAGCTACACATTTATCAGATCAAAAGCCGAAGTCACCAAACCCTCCAAAATCGAATCCTCCAGCATCTCCCAACCCATCCCCAATCGAATCCCCAATGGCATCCCCCACCAACAGCCCACCCAGGGCTCCCAGCGCCAACCCAGCACCCAGCCCCGCCCTGCCAGGCGCCCTCCTCTTCTGCCCGTGCTTGCTGTGCTTGTACACCGTCACTGGAGGTGCTTGTGACGAGGGGTACCATGGTGCAGGGGGATTGGTCGGTCCTGCATAGGCTGTGTACGGGTGAGTGCTGCTGGTTGGTTGAGCGTATGGTCCCGAAGGATAGTTGGGAGGGTAGTAAGGTGGCACAGTGTGACTATAAGGGGGTGCGGCAGGGTAACCAGTAACAGGCGGTGGTGGTGGAGGTGTTAAAGGCGATGGAGATGGGGTGATTGCTGAGCCAGCTGTCACTACACCTGCTGCAGCTGCTACCCCCTCTCTTCTCACACCGTCCACGTCAGCACCGTCCACGTCAGCATCGCACTCCCTACCTGTTTGGGTGTAGAACGATGGGATGGGTGCAAGCGGGGGCTGCCAGCATGCTGCTCCCCCCTCCGCCATCCCCCTCTCCCCCATCCCCGCCTCCGCAACTCCCCAAACCCTCACCCGCACCGTCACCCATCCGCTCTGCTTCGCGCGCTCGTCTCCCCCCTTGCACCTCGAGCGCATCACTGGCAGCTGCGCTAACTGCCACTCCCCCGGTCGGCGGAAGGCCGCGTCCAGCGCCACGGTGGCCGCGCCGAGCGACTTGCGCAGGGTAGCGGAGCTGAAGAGCTCCACGCGCACTTGCGCGCGCGCGTGGGGGGGAAGTGCCGCGGGGGGAAAGGATGCAGCTGCGGAGGAGGCGGGGGAGGGAAACGTCGAGGCGGTAGATTTATGATCGGCGGAAGCGGAGGAAATGGGAGAGGCGGGAAAGGAAGATTCGGAAGGGAAGGCGGAGGCGGATGGCTGCTGCGGAGACGATTCTGAGCGGGGCAGAAGGTCATCCACCTCGAATTCCGCCGTAAATTGCGGCCCGCCGCCCCAGGTGGGATTTCGCCCGCCGTTGACGGCTGGCGGCAAGGCTTTCCAGCAGGAGGGGCGGCCGGGGAGGGAGACGAGCGCGCAGGGGCTCATGCGCGTGAAGGGGAGCTTCCGCTTGTTGCGGAGGCCGCGCGCCGACAGTACCTCCACAGAGACTCGCGCGCTGTGGCCGGCTGGCTCTGGTGGGACGAGCTCGCTCATTTTTCCAAGTTCGTGAAAGGGATAACGAGATGACTTCCCTTGTACACAGTTGAATTCTGAGTTCTCAACTAGCAGTGACGAAGTACAGAGAGAAGAAAAAAAAAGATTGCTATGACTGTAGCGTGTAGGTTAACGTGAGTAGGCGTAGAAGAACGAACGGATGCTTAGGAGCTTTTAGAGGTAGCGCAACCAAGAACAGAACGCGTAAAGCGGGACGGGGAAGGAGTTTAGAAGGCGTTGAGGTGGCGTGTGGGAAGAGAGGAATGCGAGGGTGAAGGAGGAATGTGTGGGAAGGAGGAAGGTCGAAGCTGCTGCCACGCAAAATCCAGCTGCGCGGCAGGCCCGAAACTACGCAATAGTAGCTTCCCCTTTATTAGCCACTCTACCATAATGGTGCAAAGCACGTACACAAAAAGTACAAAAAAGTCATTCTCATGGAAGTCTGTCTAGTTTTGAAAGCGGTCGGATAAAAAAAGATTCTTTGAAAATTTTGGTGGCATTTTACTTCAAAAAAAATCGAAATTGTTTGTAAATGATTTAAAAGTTGACTGATTCTTTGTTACGCATCATATATTCTTGCTATAAGTGGTTATACATGACGTACAATACACTTGGATTCAGAATAATGCCCCTTATATCAAAGAGTATCCCTATCTTTGGCGGAGATCGAAGACCACCTAGTCATTACGCTCCGCTTCTCAAGCTTCGCGACGCGCCTAGCCGTCATGGCATCCGCTGCTTTGCTCCAGTCATGCTCGTCCCTTCGCACTCCTTTTCTCCTAAAAAACAGTCAGAAATCTCTCAGCGCCGACATAAGACCAAGGTTGATACCTCGAGAAACCGTCAGGAGCAACCATCCAGGGGAGTTGCTTGTTGAGGGCCTAGCTCGTGCAGAGAGGGATTTACCGTGCAGATTAGTCCGCGGATCGCGCTCGTCCGTACGGTGCGCGGCTGCCGGCGAGGGCGAGAAGCCGAGCTCGTTCGCGAAGCAGTGGAGCCGCACGGGCGGCAGCAGCAGCAGCGAGAGCGCGATTTCCGGCGCTGCGCGACGGATTGCGGAGAAGGGCGGGCGGGGTGAGAGCAGGCCTTCGGGGGGGAAGAATAAGCGGGGCGGCGGTAAGCCTGCGCGCGGGAGGGCAAGCGGGGACGCGCAGCAGGCGGGGGAGAACGGGGATGGCGCAGGAGCGGAGGGGGAAGCGCGCGAGGGCGGCGGGAGCGGAAGGCGCGAGCGGCAGAAGCGCAGCCACGTCGTGCTGGAGCCCGCGGAATTCCCGGAGCCAATGAGTCGCGACCCGCACGTGGCGATTCTGGGCGGCGGCATGGCGGGGCTGATGTGCGCGCTGGGGCTGGCGGAGCGCGGCATCCGCAGCACCGTTTTTGATACTGTACGGGAGGGTTTTGCAGGGGGTTCAGTAGCGGTTCAGGAGGGGGTTTGTAGGGATTCAGGAGGGCTTAGCAGGGGCTGATGTGCGCGCTGGGGCCGGCGGAACGCGGTATCCGCAGCAACGTGCTCGACGCTGTAAGGGGGGGCCTTGCAGGGGGTTACTTGGAGCTTGGTGGAGGTTACTCGGGTTTTAGCAGGGGCTTATAAGGGGTTTAACCGAGCATTGTGATGTGTGTGGGAAGGGAGGCTCGGGACCGGCTGCAGGGGTCCACTCAAGTTCCAAAGGAATCGTGCTGAGGGAACAAGGGTGTGCGCATCCCGCCGCCATGCCCCCTGCCTCATCTGCTCTTCCCTTCTCTCCTCTCCTCTACCCACCTCTGTACACCTCTCTCTTTCCACATCGACCCCATTCCACCCTCTCCTTTTTCACCCTCTCTCTCCTCTTCCTCTCGCGCATTTTCCCTCTCCTCGCCCTGTCTGCTCCCCTTGCGGCAGGGCAAGCACGGGCTGGGCGGGCGGATGGCCACTCGGGAGGTGGAAGTTGCTGGGAAGCTGCGCCTATTTGACCACGCTGCACAGTTCTTCACCGTCACAGATTCACGCTTCCAATCATACGTCGACAGGTGCGCAGATTCTGACCGTTCTGACATCCAGTCATTTGCTGACAGGTCAGCAGCCTTCAAAATCGGCAGATATGGTTTCGAGGTGGACGGATGGGCTGCTAGCAGTCTCGGGCTGGCAGTCTCGGGCTGAAGTGTTGTTCTCTGCTGCTGTGCACGTGCTGCGATGGCCCTGTTGTTGCTTTCCTGCATGTGATAGCTTCACCGCATCAATCACTCAACCTCACTCCACCTCACTCCACCGCTCTCCACCCCACTCCACCACGCACCACCAGGTGGCTGAAGGAAGGTGCCCTGCGGGTGTGGGAAGAGGGGCGCATAGGCACGCTGCAGGCAGGGGGGGCATTCTCGGAGCTCCCAACCCTTGGTGGTGGTGGCAGCAGTGGTGGTGGTGAAGAGGCGAGGAGGCTCATCAGCCCCTGTGGCATGAGGGCATTCTGCGAGCACGTGATTGCGGACAAGGTGCGTGCAACACAGCGCAGCACAGCACAGCACAGCACAGCGCAGCACAGCTGCCGAGTGGTGGTGGTGGCAGCAGTGGTGGTGAAGAGGCGAGGAGGAGGCTTATGAGCCCCCGTGGCATGCGAGCGGTCTGCGAACACGTGATTGCGGACAAGGTGCATGCAAGGCAACCACCACCAGCCATGTCATTTTCATTACTTCCAGTCTTTGATTGCGGATGAAGGTGCGTGTGTGTGTGCAGCTGGCTGCATGATTTCCAGTTTCAACTTGCAGCTTTCAATATTGGCCTTTGGTTGCGGATAAGGGTTGTGTGACCGACGGCATGGTTTCAACTTTCAACCCTCAAGAGCAGAGACGGACAGGGAAATGAGTTCCCCCTCACGTCACCCTCACGTCACCCTCACGTCACCCTCACGTCACCCTCACGTCACCCTCACGTCACCCTCACGTCACCCCCTCACGTCACCCCCTCACGTCACCCCCTCCCATCATCCTCTGACCACAGGTGAGGGAGGGCGTGGGGGGTGGAGCGCTTTTTGAGTCGACTCAAAGGCGTGGTTGGGGTGGAGCGGCCAGTGTGGGTAGGGAACAAGGGGGAGGCCTATCAAATTACCCTCCTTGCACTGTCAATCCAATCTCCTCCCCTCCCTCCCTACCCCCTGACACCCCTCTTTTCACAGGTGAGGGAGGGCGTGGTGGGGGCGGAGCAGCCAGTGTGTGGATAGGGAAGATACGGGCGAGGCATAGCGGATCACCATCCTCACATCACATCGTATCCATCCCCTCTTCCCCCGTCATCCTCCCAACCCCCTCCCCACGCATGACGCACTTTACCACAGGTGAGGGAGGGCGTGGTGGGGGTGGAGCGGTCGGTGTGGGTAGGGAAGATGAGGGCTCATTTGACCACCGTCCTCGCTCTATGTTTATTATCCCCCCCAACCAACCACCCTCCCTTGCCCATGACCCCCTCCGCGCCCGCCATTCCCTGCCCACAGGTAAGGGAGGGCGTGGTGGGGGTGGAGCGGCCGGTGTGGATAGGGAAGATGAGGGCGAGGGGGGGCAAGTGGGTGCTGGAGGAAACAGGGCGCAAGGCAGGGGAGTTTGACTTCGTGGTCATTGCACACAACGGTGGGTGAAATGGTGGGTGGGTGGATGGGTGGGTGGGCGGATGAATGGGTGAATGGGTGGATGGATGTGTCTGTTTGTTCTGGCAGTTACTTGTGATGTTACGGCAATGGGGGTGCGTTTGATATGAGCCTGTGATGGTGCGTCAATACTTGCGTGCTTGTCATTCACACAGAACAGAAGAGGAGCGTGCTTCTTGCAGTGCTTGCTGCTATGTCATGACATTCCATGCCATGCCATGCCATGCCATGCCATGCCATGCCATGACATGCTCTCTTATGACTTCTCTCTCTGTCCACTGCTCCTCATCGCTCTTCCGCTCTTTTGAGGCCCTCAGGATTCCTCGTTGCTTTTCCCCTCATCGCATCGCATCGCATCCTTCCAGGAAAGTGCGCGAACCGTCTTCTCGCTCCCGCAGGCATCCCAAAGATTGCGAGACAGATGAAGGTAGGTGCAATTGCAGGGGAGTGGGAGCGCGGCGTCGTGGTGTGAAGGGCAGTGGTGAAGCATGGCCAGTAAGAAGGAGGTGGTTTAATGAGAACTGCCGGTCATAAGCTGGACAGCTGGAAGGGGTGTGTCACGTGACAGCTGGAAGGGGTGTGTCACGTGACAGCTGGAAGGGGTGTGTCACGTGACAGCTGGAAGGGGTGTGTCACGTGACAGCTGGAAGGGGTGTGTCACGTGACAGCTGGATTGGACATGGCAGTACAAGCAAAATGGAGAACGCACAAGCGCATCACACAAGGAGGAGTCCGTTTGCCATGTCTAATCCCGTTTTGGCCCTCCACCGAATCGGTTCCTCCCTCTCATGGAGGGCCAAAACGGGATCCCCTGCCTGTTTTCTCCATACCCCATGCCTTTCTCTCTCCCATCTGCCTCCTCCTCTTTCTACCTCTTTCACTACTCCCTCTGCCCACACCTCTCCCTCTGCCCGCACCTCTCCGCTTCTTCCCCACTCTTCCCCCCCTCACTTCATCTCACAGCGTCTTGAGTTGAGCTCCATTTGGGCGTCGCTGCGCTCAGAGGTGGCTTTTGGGTCCCCTCTCTCCCCCCAAAACTCTTCTATTGCCCACTCTCCCCCTCCCTCCACACCCCCCCACCCCCCCTTTCCCCACCCCTCACTCCCAATCCACCCCGCGGCGCCTTGAGCCGAGCCGAGTTCCATCCGGGCGTCACACATCGCCTTTGAGACGCCTACCATACCACCTCTTTCCCTTCTGCTATCTCACAACACCCACCCTCACCCCACCCGCCCCCCCTCACCGTCCCTTCCACACCCTTCCCCCCAATCCATCCCCCAGCGCCTTGAGCTGAGCTCTATCTGAGCGCCCTTCATCGCTCCCTCAGAGTCGACTTTTGGTCGACTCACAAGTCCCTTGCTTCTCAACCCCACCCTCCCCGCTCCCCCTAACCACCCCCCCAAAACCCATCTCCCAGCACCTTGACCTGAGATCCATCTGTTCGTCCCTCATTGCATTCGAGACCACCTACCTCCTTTCCCCCTTGTGATATCTCCCAACCCCGTGCCTTCCTCTCCAACCCCCTCCCCTCTTCACCAACTCACAGCGCCTCGAGCTGAGCTCAATCTTGCCGTCCCTCATCGCCTTCGAGACGCCTTCCTCTCCCTTTCTGCTAACTTTCACCTCCCACCCCCCCTCTCTCCCCACTCCCCTTCCCCCCCCCTCTCCCCCGTCCTTTCCAACCCCCCTCCCCCTTACCCATCCCCCAGCGCCTCGAGCTGAGCTCCATCTGGGCGTCGATCATCGCATTCGAGAAGCCTCTGCTGGCCAATGGCAGCGCGACACGTGGGCACTTCGATGCCGCCTTCGTGGAGGGCGTGCCAGCTGTCGCGTGGATGTGCAACAACACCGCCAAGCTGGGGGATTTGGGGGGCGCAGGGAGAGGGGACGGCGGGGAGGGATCGGGTGCGGTGCGGAGGGGTGAGGGCATGGAGTGCTGGACGGTGTTCAGCAGTGCGGCGTATGGCAAGCGCAACAAAGTGCCCCAGGTGGGTGGGAGGGACAGTTTTGAGAGGATTAAGGTCTCATAAATAGTATAGTATGTAAGCCGTTCTTGCATTGGGAGCATCACATAGTAAAACTCTTGTGAAATACCTGGGTGCCGTGGCAGTTCATATCCATGACTTTCGAGTGGGCTCTAAATTGACCGTTACTCTGTCACTCCATCTCCACCCCTTCCCGTGATCACTCCATGCATGCCCACCCCTCGTTACTGTCACAACCAGGAGAACATCCCTTTGGTGAGGGCAGCGAGGGTGAAGGAAGCAGGAGATGCTGGAGAGCGTGTCGTGCTTTTGAGTCGACTCAAAAGGAGAGCGTGTCGTGGCAGGGCAGTAGCGCTCTCGCAAAACATGGACACCTGGATTCCGTCACAACCCTTAGCAGCTGTCACTCCATTCACATTCCTCATAACTTCTCCTCATTCCTTCCACACAACCAGGAGAGAACATCCCTCCTCTGGCCAGGGCTGCACGGGTGAAGGAGGAGATGCTGGAGGGCGTGGCAGCAGCACTAGGCCGAGCTCAGAACATCTGAATGCCGCTAGAATACACAATACCAAGATTCATAAAGTTACCCTAGCAACCATGCCCATGCCCATGTCCACCCTCGTTGATTGCCCTCCTTCCCCACCCCTCGCTACTGTCACAAGCAGGAGAACATCCCTCTGGCGAGGGCAGCGCGGGTGAAGGAGGAGATGCTGGAGGGTGTGGCAGTGGCGCTAGGCGGCCCAAGTGTTCATATCAAGCACACCTGGGTTCCGTTTATATCCAAACCCTCTTCCCAACCCCTCGCGCTCTTTCCCAACCCCTCGCTACTGTCACAATCAGGAGAACATCCCGCTAGCGAGGGCAGCGCGGGTGAAGGAGGAGATGCTGGAGGGCGTGGCAGCGGCGCTAGGGCGACCCAAGGACTCGCTGCCTGCTGTGCTCTTCCACAAGATCCAACTCTGGTGGGTGTGCTGTGTGTGCTGCTCTCACCATATGATGTGCTATCCCTTACTGTGCTGTTCTCACGAGCTGAGGTGACTGTTGAGCCGACTCAAACGTCGCCTGGCTAGCCCGACCCAAGGACTCCCTGCCTGCTGTTCTCTTCCACAAGATTCAGCTCTGGTGGGTGTGCTGTGTGCTGATCTCACGTGCTGGTGGGTGCTTTCATGTGCTCTCCTGTGATGCTCACACGTGCTGTGATGCTCACACGTGCTGTGATGCCCACACGTGCTGTGATGCCCACCCACACGTGCTGAGGTGACTGTTGAGCCGCCTCATTAGGGCGAATCAAGGACTCGTTGCCTCCCATGCTCTTCCACATGGTCCAGCTCTGGAGGGTGTGCTGTGCTCAGTGTTACCTGGGTGCTGGGGTGGGTGGTGTGGTGGGTGCTGTGTTGGGTGTCCCCAATATGTTTGCTCCCGATTCCCATCCCATCCCATCCCATCCCATCCCATCCCATCCCATCCCATCCCATCCCTTCCCATCCCACCCCATCCCATCCCATCCCATCCCATCCCATCCCATCCCATCCCATCCCATCCCATCCCATCCCATCCTATTCCACCTCTCCCCTCCTCACTTCAATCTCCGCCCTTCAGGGGAGTGGCAATCCCTCGAAACGCCCCGTGCACAGCAGCAGGGGGCAGTGTGGAGAGCATAATGGATGCCCTGCGTGTGGGGCTGTGCTGACTGCCCCTTTGCCTTGCACTGCAACCCATTTCAACTCATCCCCAGCCCATCCCATCCCATCCCGTCTGACCCCACTTCAATCTCCGCCCTCCAGGGGTGCGACTCTCCCTCTGAACGCGCCAACAACAGCAGCAGGGAGCGGCGTGGAGTGCATAATGGATGCCTCCACGCAGGTGGGGCTGTGCTGACTGGCTGCTCGCCTTGTGTTGCACGCATGCTCTTTCGACCAATCCCCACCCCATCTCACCCCACTCCATCCCACCCCATACAGGGGGGCGGCGCTGCCGCTGAACGCGCCAACAACAGCAGCAGGCGGCGGAGTGGAGTGCATAATGGACGCCTCTACTCGTGTGGGGCTGTGTGGCGACTGGCTGCTCGTCTTGCGCTGCACGCATGCTCGTTCAACCAATCCCCACCCCATCTCACCCCACTCCATCCCACCCCATACAGGGGAGCGGCGCTGCCGCTGAACGCCCCGACAACAGCAGCAGGCGGCGGTGTGGAGTGCATAATGGACGCATCTACTCGCGTGGGGCTGTGCGGCGACTGGCTGCTCGCCCCCTCCGTGCAGGCGGCTGCCATCAGCGGGCTCGCCATGGCTGATAAGGTGCTGTTGGGGGGAGGGGGGGCGGTGCAGGGCTGTTCCTGCTGTGGCCTGTAAGGTGTCAGGGGTGGGGCTGGTCCTCTGCTTGCGCGTGGGGCTGGTCCTCTGCTTGCGCGTGGGGCTGTGTGGCGATTGGCTGCTCGCCCCTTTCGTGCAGGCTGCTGCTGTCAGCGGGCTCGCCATGGCTGATAAGGTGCGGGGGGAGGGGGGGAGGGAGGGGGGAGGGGAGGGGTCCTGGTCGTGCTGTGGCGTGTAAGGTGCTGTGCTACTAGGGGGGGCTTGTCCTCTCTGCTCGCTGGTGCGGCTGTGTGGCGACGGATACTCGCCCCTCCATGCAGGCTGCTGCTGACATTGGGCTCGCCCTGGCCGATTAGGTGAGGGGGGGGGGGGAGGACAGGGGAAGGGCTGGTCCTGCTGAGGCTGATGAGGTGCTGTGGAAGGGGATGGGGGCTGGTCCTGTGGAAGGGGCAGTTCTGTGGAAGGGGCAGTTCTGTGGTCGGATAGTCCCATGGTGAGAAGAGCAAGTGTGAGCAAGTGTGAGAAGAGCAAGTGTGAGCAAGTGTGAGAAGATCAAGTGTGAGCAAGTGTGAGAAGAGCAAGTGTGAGCAAGTGTGAGAAGAGCAAGTGTGAGCAAGTGTGAGAAGAGCAAGTGTGAGCAAGTGTGAACAAGTGTGAGAAGAGCAAGTGTGAGCAAGTGTGAGAAGAGCAAGTGTGAGCAAGTGTGAGAAGAGCAAGGGTGAGCAAGTGTGAAGAGCAAGGTTAGCAAGTGTGCGAAGAGCAAGTGTGAGCAAGTGTGAGAAGAGCAAGTGTGAGCAAGTGTGAGAAGAGCAAGTGTGAGCAAGTGTGAGAAGAGCAAGTGTGAGCAAGTGTGAGAAGAGCAAGTGTGAGCAAGTGTGCGAAGAGCAAGTGTGAGCAAGTGTGAGAAGAGCAAGTGTGAGCAAGTGTGAGAAGAGCAAGTGTGAGCAAGTGTGAGAAGAGCAAGTGTGAGCAAGTGTGAGAAGCGCAAGTGTGAGAAGGGCAAGTGTGATATGAAGTGAAAAGAGCAAGGGTGAGAAGAGCAATGTTGATTCATATCACACTTGCTCTTCTCACCCTTGACCTCACATGCTTCCCCTAGCTGTTGCCACCCACTCATCACATCCCCTAGTTGTTGCCACCCACTCATCACATCCCCAAACTCATGCATCCCCTCTTCCCACTCATTGCCATCACTCCCACAGCTCTCTTGGCTTGGCGCCCTTGGCTTTGCCCCCATGGCAGATCGCAGCGTTCCACGAGGATGCAGTGGCCGGCGACCATTCTTGAGACGTCTCAAAGCGAACCTCTTCATGCCTTCTTCCCTCTTGCTGCCACCGCTCCCATGGCAGATCGCATCGTTCCACGAGGATGCAGCGGCCAGCGATCCATCGCTCTTCTCGGTGGGCCTTGATGCGTCCTTTGCAGCGGTGCCCGACACGCATGACATCGGCGCTTTCCCCGATGCCACGCCTGCTGCTGCTGACTCGAATGGCAGCACACAAGGTGTTGCGGCACATGGGGTTCGAGTGGCTGCATGAGGGGAGGTGTGTTGAGATTTCTGCCAAACGACCTACTTTTTTTAGAATCATGGCTTGTGGGTTGCACATGGCAGTACACCTAGGGGTTGCTTTGCTTGCCCCGGGACCAGGACCCAGCACATCAGAACAGCAACACCAGTCTATCATACTTCATTGAAGTGGTGTACATGTGGATTAAAACTTAAGATTTCCTGAAACAACCAAACTGCTTAAAAATGTTGGAAACAAGTAACTTAAGCGCCTCTGTCGTGTCGAAGCACTAAGTTATAAGCGAAGCAAAACACAGCGAAGCATCGGCGAGTCAACCCTCAGAGGTTGAACTGCTGGAGGTTACGCGAAAGTCAAAGGTCAGCGACCTTTGACCTGACAAGTACAGCGCGACAGCAAGGACAAACAACTGACTCGTTATTGAGCAGTTGCCCGAGTCGTCACTGTATCGAACCGCAACAGCAACAGCAAAACAGTTATTAGTTATAACCCTTCATATTCCCTTGTACTCGTATAAAAGCTTGTATCTCTTTGTCTTAATCAATCGACTTTGCCCTCACATACCAGCGCAAGGTGGTTCACAAACCTTTCATTAAACGCTTCCGCTATTACATTGTCCTACTCAGAGTTTAGTCCTGCAAAGATCCTAAGGGCTTTCTCAGCCCAACATGGTATGAGAGCTATCAGGACAAATTCAACTACAATCAAGACACCTACAACATCACAAGGCATGGCAACGCAGAAGGAGAGAAGCTCCTCTAACGGCTCTCCCGGTACTACTCCTACTCCACCTCCTGCCTTTGGCCTACAGACAGAGGAGGGCACAGCAACAAGACCGGCAGCTGGGTCTACCGAAACTCCCGCAAATCAAGCCGCGGGTTCGACCCAGACATGATGGAGAAATTCTTCTCCTTCATGTCCTTCTACGAACAACACCAGCAAGGGGCACCTGCACAATCAAACAACAGCAACAACAACATCGCAACACCGATGAGCCTCGACGGTTCATCCTACGCACGAGGAAATCAGCAACAACAACCTACCTTCGCCCCGTACGAACCTCGGCGCGGTTCTGTCAGCTTCATGCCGCGCCAGCAGCCTTCACCTGAGCAAGAGAAGACATTAGATGCACTTCAAGTTCAGTCGCAGTTTGCGCACGTCTTAAAACTGCAGACGTCAAGACCGTTCGACGGAAAGGACTTCTTTACCTGGTCATTTGAATTCGAGCTGATGATAGAAGGCGCGCAGATTCTTGGCTTCTTCGACGGGTCCCTGCCATATCCAACGCACAGGACGCAATACGACAAGCAGCAGTACACATATCAATCCATGATGGCGTATACAATCCTAGTGCGCAACGTCACACCGAACCAGCAGCAGAACATTCGGTCTTACCGAGGATACGGGAACTCCGCCGAGCTCGCGTACAATCACCTGAAGAACTTGTATCAGGCAACAGACAGCGTCAATCAGAGTCGGTTAATGGCACAACTGACAACAGTGGTAATGAAACCGGGCGAAAAAGGAATGGCGTATATCAGCCGCTGTCGCGAATTGCGCGACAAACTCCTTCGATGCGGAGGGTCGATATCAGAAGACGCCTCCGTCACAGTCGTCATTGGCGGTCTTGGTCCTCATTGGCGCTCCACCCGCGCCATACTCCGAGCTCACGGGAAGATCTCCGAAGCAGCACTATGCGCCGAAATTCACGCTGAACAGTAAGACATGGACCTGCAAGAGGAGCGGCACAAGAGGAAAACGTCAGTACCTGAATTCGCGTTCCACACTCAACGGCGCTACAACAACAACAACAACCGGCATCAACCGAAACATGTACCTCCATTCTGTCATCTCTGCAAGACTTCAGGGCACCCTCGCACACACTTCCCGAATCGACAGCAGTCAACACCACCGCAACGCCAGCTTCGTCCTTCAAGTAGTCAAGTGGCGTCCACACAAGCGCACCCCACGAGTCAACTGCAGTCCTCAACGACATCGCCAATGCAATCTGCACAAGGAACAAGAAACATTGTCAGTTGCATGGCAAGACTGACTGACTCCTGCATCACCGAGTCACCACCACACTACTCACGGGAAGAACAACTCGACAACAGCACCCCTCGCCGCGAGTCACTTCAACCAAACCCGACGTATGCAGCCATCGCTCAAAGCGAGCCGTCCGGGAAAGATACCTGGTTCTTGGACAGTTGCTGCGGACAGCACATGTGCTCTTCGGGACGCTTCGTTCAACGCGAACACCAACTTCAACGCGAAGTCGTCATCACCGTCGCCAACAACCAGAACCTGCGCACACGACGACAAGGCGTGGTGCAACTTCAGTCACGAGAGACAAACGTCATATTGCAGATGTCAAAAGTGTTAATTGCGGAGGGATTCGGCTACAACTTACTGAGTGTCAGTCAGCTGATGGCGAAAGGCATCCACCTCGAAGCAGACAGCATAACACAGGAGTTCAAGCTATACCACGGGAGAGGAGGCCTCTACATCGGCAAGGCCGTACTGAAGAACAACGTGTTTGTTCTCGACTTCGTTCCAGATCTAGGCAACGCCGACAGCGACGGAATTGTCACCTTCACCTCCTGGACACACCCACCGGATCTTGATCCTGACTTCAGCCCCGAAGGATTTTGGTACTCGCACACCATTCCTGAGGCAGAACGAACAAGAGCATTAGCAACAATTCAATCAGCAGCAGCAGAGACAACATCTGCAGCAACAGAGACAACATCGGCAGCAGCAGAGACAGCATCAGTACCAATCGCGGGTCCTTCAACTGCACCAGTTCCAATCGACGACGACACTCCACCGACTCCTGCGCAGCAACTGAACCCAACACCACGAGAAGTACATCGAAGCGCAAACTTCACCGCAAGCTTCTACTCCAACTCCGACATGTACCGTCGCTCGCCCGGACATCGAGCTGGCGAAGACATCTGGCACGCACGAATGGGACATCCAAGCAACACAGTGTTAAATAACACAATCAGAGCAGGAGTGCTCGACAAAGACTCACTGCTCCTAACCGACGGAAGCAAACTTCGACGAGCTCGCGGAACGTGCTTTACCTGCCCCGAAGCTGACTTACCACATCGGCCGTTCGCTTCTCACCACAACCCCAGCGCACCAGCTTACGCACCACTCGAGAAAGTATACAGCGACATCCTGTACAACTGCGAACCTGGACAAGGAGCATACAGCTACACCATCACGTTCATCGATGCCGCCACACGTTACGTTTGGCACCTCAACCTTCCGAGCAAGGACATGGCTTTCGAGGCTTTCGTCGCTTGGCTCCCAGTAGCAGAACAAGAATCAGGCGTGAAGCTGAAAGGCTTCCAGTCAGACGGAGGAGGAGAGTACACCTCACAAAGATTCAAGCAGTACTTGGCAGAAAGAGGGATCAAGAGGCTCATCTCCCTTCCCTACGCTCACCAGCAGCAAGGCGTAGCAGAAAGGATGAACATGACTCTCCAGAACACCATGCGCAAGCTGCTACGTGGCATGCGGCTACCCAACCACCAATGGCCCGAAGCAATGGACCACGATGTCATGCTGCACAACTTGCTCTCGTCATCATCGCTCCCGAACAACGCATCACCGCACCTGCTGTGGACAGGAAAACTGGGCAGCACAAAAATGTTAAGAGTTTTCGGATGCATGGTACAGTACCGATCCCCAGTTGCACGAGCCGGCCGATTCTCCCAACGCGCACAGTGGGGACTACACCTGGGCATCGAAAGAAATTACAACGCGTGGAAGATTTTTTACGTCCACTCAAAGGAAACAGTAGCAGCACGTGATGTCATTTTCTACGAGCGACTCACCCTTCCGACATACCTTGCCAACCTGGAAGAAGACCGGGACCCCACAGGCGGTTTCCGTGGTGACCGAGCCTTCGCCTCGGCAGTAGACGAAGCTAACTGGGACGAGCAGAATGTGGATGAAGCCTCGGAGGAAGCCGGACCTCTCCCTTACTGCTCCGTCGACGTCCGAATGGATGACGAAAATCCTCGCGAAAGCGCCAACGCCGAAGTATTTTACCACTTCGCCGACAACGGTTACGTTACACCTGCAAGAGTCAACACCAACGAAGCCGAACGCATAGGGCCCAACTTCATACCTGACCTAGAGGCAGGTGACGAAGCAGATTATCCCGAGGACACAACACTCCCCCGCTACACACAGAGTGGTCTCCAGATACTCGGCCTCGTCACCGCGGTCCACGGCATGGAGATTCCTAAGGAGCGTGCCACAGTTCAGCAGGCTCTAGGGGGGGAGCATAGGGAAAAATGGCGCGAAGCCATGGACAAGGAGCTGAAAGCACTGGAAGAACGGAACACCTGGAAAGTCGTCCCCATCGGTGTGGCACGCAACAAAACGGTACTCACCGGAAAATGGGTCTTCCGTGTGAAGACAAAGGCAGACGGTACCATTGGCAAGTTTAAGGCGCGCTGGGTCGTGCGCGGTTTCGACCAAGAGCACGGACGTGATTTCACTGAGACGTTCGCCCCGGTCAGTCGACACACTTCACTTCGAATTCTTCTCGCGATCGCCGCCATGAAGAAGAAGAAATTGCGGCAAATTGACGTCGCCAACGAATTTCTCTACGCGCCTGTTGACGCCGAAATCTTCGTCGAACTTCCACACGGCTCCAACGGAGAGCCCAACCAAGTCTGCCAGCTGCTGAAGTCCCTGTACGGAATCAAACAGGCCCCAAGATTGTGGCAGCAGTATCTACACGCTCGACTCACTCGCATCAGATTCCGACAGCTACCACACGACCAGGGCATGTATCGGCTCACGAAAGGCGACGACTACATCTTACTAATCGTCTACGTGTGTGAAGAAATGAGGAATGAATGAGAGAAGGGGGGGTTCACTAGCAAACATTGGGATACATATAACAAACCCTAAAAGGGCTGTACTCACTATAGAGTACCCCACTGCAGACTAGAGAAACATAATATTCTGACACACCCCCATAGTCAAAG